ATATATATATATATATATATATATATGATTTATAACTCTATAAATCACAGTGAATATATGTTTTACTGCATTAAATGTATTTTGGATATGTTTCTAGAAGGACTTACCCATTTTCACTTTTATAAAGATACTTTAAGTACACTTTCCCTTAATTATAACTCCAAAATTAGCATAAAAAATCCCCTTTAACTGCCTATGAAAATATAACTGAAAATGCAAAATTATTCTTTTTGCAGGCCATAGAGCACATTATTTTTTCTTTTTATGAAGCTTATCAAGATTTCTTCCCCCCAAGAGCTTACTCTCTCTGGATGTAAGATTTTGCTTGCTTTTAGTATATAATGAAGAAAAACCCAGTTTTGGTAACATTCTTTAAACATATGGCAATATCTATAAAATTCATTCAACTATGTGCTTAAATATTGAATTCTGCCGATTTCCAGATTTCACGATTGTTTTTTCCATCAGACTGGGTCTAAAACACAGTTTTTCATAATTTTTTACAACTGAAAATCAGTACACTCATTTTATACCTCACCTGATACCTCTTTCCAACAAAACAAATAGATCTAAAATCAAAGTAACACCACAAGCACTAGGTTGTCCCATTAAAAAAAAAAAACAGAAAAATTTATATGAAGTTTAAACACATTTCAAAGTTACTTTTGCATACTTGCAATTTTCTGAATATCATAATATCATATATCACAATATACTCACAATGCATACTTCAAAATGTTGTGATTCAATCTGACATCTGCTTTTATCATTTAAAATAAAATGTAAAACAATACACTGTGTATATATATTTTTTTTACACATCTATGGGGAACTATTCATACTCTGGTTACAAACTATTTCTAACATGCATAATTAACAAAAATAAGATTTTTCATGAAATATAAATACACATTTATTAACTTTACTCTCATAAACAAAACAAAAACCTATTCTTATCATAAGGTACCAATCAATAAATGTAGTTCAATACTATCACAACACTTCCATTACAAACAAATGTACTCTCACTTGGGGTTGGTGAGGATGACATAACCATTAATTGGGTGAAGGGTTAATTCTCTTCCTTCTAATCCAACTTTCCCTGCCAAAGCATGGCAGTCTCTCATACCTACCTCTATATAATGTTTAATCATCCCTCCCAATGGACAGACAGACACACAGAAACACAGACAGACAGGCAGGCAGACACACACACAAAAAAAACAAACTAATATATGGCATAAAAAAATAAAAGGGTTATAAGCTCACTGCAGAGGATCTCATTTCACTCAACATATGGTGAGAAAGCTGTGACTAAAAATAAATATTACACAGCGAGACATATTACCCATTGTCATTTCCATTTTAGTCTTGTCCATCCTTGAAGAGGACTAGTAGGCCCTCTGTTAACCAATATCACATTTGCTATATAAGCATACACAGCTTGAAACCAAGCATGCCATACCAGATCTGCGACTGTTGTACATGCGTACACTCATAGGTGCAAAACAACAAATGGGACTTGCTAATACTCAGTGAGATTGTTTTAATCTCCTCGCCATGGTAATAAATTAGTTTAGTCAATAAAGACAGTAATGCAGTTTATGATGTCTGATAGTTCTGAGATTCCACCAACAGTATGTTGGTTTATATGATGCAGCCCCCCTCTTATTTTCTGAAGGAAAAAGATACAAACTAAATTTGCTTATGTGTCATAGTTAAATTCAGCCGAGTAACCTGCAAGCCAAGATCTAGTTTATCAAGTAGAATTTTTAGTGCTGTGTTTCAGCATCATGATGGAAGCATTTAGTTAGGTGCCTTCAACCTCAAAACTAAACTGTCTCACCTCTCCCATCTTCGTCCCAGTAAGGGTCGGAGATCACCAAGTTCTGCAGGCCATCACTGTGTCCCTTGGGTTCATGCACAGCATCATAAAAATTATTGATAACTGGAGCAACGTTCAGAGTGGAGTCTAATCCTACCACTAATCCCTTATTAGGCAGTCTGGTAGTTTGAATATCATATTTGCTAAATTCTTGATAAGCAAGTGCTTCTAAGAACTGCCTTCCACTAGATGGCTGATCTGAAAAATCAAACAGATGTTCATTAGTTACTTTCTAAAACTGCTACTTTATTTCATAGCATCATATATTCTATGACAAAGGACAGAGGACTTCAAGTCTTCTGAAAAAGCATAATAACTCAATGGCTTAAAGTGAAATTCAATTTTTGTAATATATTATATTATACTAGATTTTGTTAGATGCTAATCAAAATTGCCAAAAAATAAGGAACATGAAACTGTATTAGTTCTAGTAGTGTGAGAACTTCAAGCACATCAAGGAACATCATCATACTAGCATACACTGTAAATATTGTATACACAAAAGCCATTACATCAAAATTAGCATTTTATGATCACATCATGTATAATTAAATCCACAAAACTTTTGGAAAATATATATGGCAAAAGTTCTAGAAAGATCTAATTTTGTGATTTTTAGGTATCTTCATGCTAAATTCAGAAACCAAGCAAAAAAATCATAAGATAAACAAAATAGCTACCCAAATGTCATACAAAACTATAAAAATATTTCATACCAACCTCTGCTTATTCCAAGCCCAAAGGCACTCAGTAAAACTTTTGTTGGTATTATATCCAACATCACAGCCATATGCTGCAAGACTGTGTGGATTTGAGTGTGCTTGTTTAGCTTCCCACAAGTCACATACACTAACAATACTGATTTATTAGATGATGAAAGGCTGGATGACCAATTTGCAATCATCTCCATTGCAGTGATGAGTCCAAGGCTATGATTGGTTGGCTCTGTGAAAAAAAGAATAATAAGCTTTACAGATTTAAAATCCTATAATCCATAAATATGACACTGGATGGGAAAAACTGCATTCTCTCCAAAATAAAGCAAAAGTAAAGAAAGAAAAAAATATGAACATCTAGTCAAAGATGATGCTACTTGGACTGTGGAATTATTCATTCTCATTCACATCTTCTTAAAGAAGAGCGAGAAACTATCACACAGACAGAGTGAGAAAGACAGAAAATTGACAGACAGGTTTTCCCAAGCTCCTTTAAAAAGACAAAATAAACATCAAAGCAGTCTTCCTGCACAGCAAATATTTGGTCATCATGGAGTTCGATCACATTATGGCAGACAGCTAGAAATTAGCAAATCAACTTGGAAGTAGAGGGCTGATATATTGGGGCACTTACCATTATGTATGTCCATGTAATTTACAAAACGTCTAATTGCATGTTTAACAGTGTGTGTAGCAGGAACCAGTGTGGAATTCATACAAGGAGCTGCAGGTCGAACAATGCTGCCTTCTAATCCCAACACAGCTATCTGGTCATGTTGCATTATGGTAGATGCAATCTGATGGCCTAAGGAGTTGTATCAAAATATTAGGACTTCACTTAACTTTTAAAAATACTCTACAAAAACTAAGCCAACAAATTTATATATGTTGAGAAAAGGTTTTCCAAGAGAAGCATATGGCACTGAAAGTAATAAAAAATGTAGACCAACCTATAGCTTTTGCAGTAAGAAGTAATCTTGGAGTAAGAGCTTCTCCTAGATCATACAGCAGTACTATGTTTTTACCATCAGGTCTGACTGTAGCTTCATACACATGTCCATGACGACCAGACTGGCTGCAATCAGCTGCAATAACAGTGTCTGTACATTACAGACATTTACATGCTTAATGGCACCTATGGATTCTAAACACTAAATCTAATACAAACAAAAAATCTGACAATTGTTAAAGTTCTCCTAGTTCTGATAAATTAATTAATTTTCACATTAGAGTTTCCATACAAGAAATAACATGAGTAAATATGACATTATTATCTATTAGAAGAAAAACCACTTGTTCACTAACTGAATGATTCTCTACACAAAGATTTACTTTTATTTCCTCTCAATGCAACATAATATGTCCACTGACTCATGTAGTCTATTTAATTTTGTATCTCATCTTATTCTATCTTTACCTTCATTACTTTTAAACCCAACTTACCTGATCGGTGTGCAGGATACTCAGTGTGCAGACCATCAACAGACATGAAATATTGCCACTTGATGGACGGGTATCTCCGCAGATTGAGGACAAACACTATGGTGCAGTAAATATATATAAATATATACAGTATAATATCTGGTTACAATCTCCTATAACCCATAAAAAGAAACTGCAACTCAATTCACACATGCCTCAGATCCTTTATGCATTAGTTACTAAATAAATTTTGCATCAAAATTCTCTTTCTCAACTTTTTATGATATGCATTGTGACCAAAGGTATAAAGTAGCTACCTCATTAAAACAAAATACTTATGTAAGATATATATGGGAGCTTAAATGCTTCATCAGCAGTAGGTTAAAATGTAAAAGTATGATAGATAAAGGA